CTGAGGAAGCGGACGCCCGGGCATCCATCTTCCTCGACGACCACTTCCCAGTGCTGCGTATGCAGGGTGTTCAAAGCGACGCGTGCAGTAATGAATCGGAGCCATTACGCGTGCGTTCGCAAAGTGCGCTAGACCAGCGCACGCACAGCACGGAATAAAGGCAGCATTTACCCTCAGCGGAAAGGCGACTAACAAGCGTGACTATGGTCATAACGAGCAAAAGAAAATTAAACTGTTGGAGCCCTTCGTCACGCATAGCATCCCCTTGCGAACGCACCTTGACTTCGCCGTCCTGTCCGCCCGAGACTAGGGTGTGGCTGTTTGGCTGAAAGTCAACGCTAAGAACAGGTTCTTTTCCATGCCAGACAATCTGCAACGTCTTCAGCTGCATAGAGACAAGGCTCGCTGCACTTCTGTTTCCAAAACAGGTCCGTCAAGCTTGCTACGCGGTCAGCACTGAAGCCATAGGATGAAGTTGCAAATGTATCGAGGCCAATTGATTTTGATAAGCAGTACAGGGCTGCCGCAAGTCCTTCAAACACAGCGTGCAGCTTAAGAAATCCGCGGACGCTAAAACTTTGGCCAGTAATATCTGCGTCACACTGGAGCGGCGGTGCTAAGAAAAGGTAGTGACAGAAAGACCTGCATCCAAATCGGTCACTTGCCGGCTATGCTAGCGCGCCAATTCGGATGTACGACATGTACGCTTTCCTTTTGGCTGTTATAGAAGCGGAGGTAACACATTGCAGTCTTTATACGATGATCAATGAAAGGCACCACCCGGCTCAATTTGGAGGTCCGGATGAGATGCTTGGTTTTGTAAATTTGGCAGACCGGCTGGTGGTACTTACTAGGGCATAGATTACTAGCCGAGAATAGAGGTGCAGCAGATGAGGCGCTAAATGTGACTGCAAAGCCTTCACGGCCTTTAACAGCTGATAAGGTCGCTGCAGTACTGGAAGGCCTAACGAGTAGCATGTATAGCAGCTGTCTCGCGAACTGAAAAGGCGTCCAGCGGCTGTGAACGGTTTGCCAGGCGGCTACACAGTCGTAGCGAGAGCCTGCTTA